GTGGCTAGTGCTTTAAAAGTACAGATGGGCAGCTTTCGTTTTAAGACCATTGGCTTGATGAAGCTAATTACGAAACCAGCCTAATTCAGGAAGTTTCTGGACCTCAAAGGCACTGACGTCAAAATCAAACGTCAAAAGCCACTTAGTATCCGTTCTTTCTACGAAAGGCTGAGGCTCTGGAAAAGTAGCAGTTTGACAGTAGCAACCACTCGCCGGCAAGACGGTCGATGGTTACGTCTTTCAAGAATAGCTAACAAGCAAGCTGATGGTGAGTTTGACTTCCTGGCATATGGCAGTACCAATCTGCCATCGAAATGAATGAACAAATCCTACAGAATTTGCTTGTCTCACTTAAGCATAAATTTAGGGATCGATTATCCCACAATAGTAGGGATAAATTTGGATTAAATCACCCTAACGGCCCGGGGAAAAGACGTGGTGGTCACTCGGGCAGGCACATAAATAGTCAATAGAACTAGTTTAAATTATTTTAATAGTCAAAGACCAAATTAGCGGACAGGCGGATGGGTATGGAATGACCAGTGAAACTAGTTTTCATCACACTGTCAGTGGAATAAATCAGCGGATATGCGGACGGACAGAATAGATCGATTCCTACGAAGCGTCCATGAGAAAAGCTTACTTCCGGAGGTAAAGTGTCCTCTTCAGTTGTTCGGAATTCATGTGTTGGTGCTTCACTACTTTTCTGTTCGGATTTATCACCAGCGATCGTCGGTTCGTCGACCGACAGATCAGCTATTGGTTTTTCGGTTGTATCGAATGATTCTGTTGCACTTGCAGTTGCTTTCTGGCGATCTCGCCTAGAAAATTTTCGCTTTAGAAATCGCAAAAATTGAAGAAAACAGTAGCACTCTAAGGTCAACAGTTGTGTTGAAAGATTTAAAAATTTGAGTAAAATTAGACCATTTTAGAGAAGGGAGAATTTAGGTGGCTGTAAGAGCCGTTAGATAAAAATGGCTCTATACTCAGCTGAAACTTGTTCAATGCAAAACTGCAAAAGTTTTTGGGATTGAATGCTTAAATTCCCAAAATTTGAATAAAATTAGATATTACATTACAGCGAATGGAGGATTTGCGCAGTTAAGAGATCTGCTGAATCAAAAGAGTTGTAAGCCCTAAATCTAGCCCCATTAAAAAAGAATTATTATAAAAATTTCGGGGATGAAAATTCGAGCGAGGATTCACAAGTGATTAAGTGGTTATGCGATGATTTTTAAACTTTACAAAGTTGATTTGAAAAAATCATAAATAATTTTCAGTGTTCAATATCAATTTAATCAAGAAAAAAAGTCAAATTTCGCAGACTGCATTTAATTGCATTGTTTTCTCAATGAGAGAAGGAACACGATGATGAAATAATGCTGATTAAAAGAAATCACATCAATTTCCCCACGAAAACACAACAGTTCTTCCCAAAACCTAAGAAAGTTCAAGTTGTTTGGCAGCACTTTTTTTTCATAAATTCCTATAAAAATCTCCGTTGTAAATGCATATCAGAATGTAAGTTGTTTATCTCAGGATTAGTGGTAATATGTCAAAGAAGTAATCGCTCTCGGATGGATTTATGGCAGATGACGACTAGTGATAAGGGGAAAATTTCCATTGTTTTCCCTCGGAACAACGAATGACCGGTTGAATTCATAAATCCCAGTACTAATCTTTTGATGATTTTAATGATTACAGTAGTGCGCATTTTTGCAATAGCTTTTTTAGGTCATTATGCAAATTCACATTGTTTGAGAGCCCTCTGGATTTTGATCCTCAAATTACGGATTCATTCGATCACTCCTCTGACAACATTTTTTTTTTTTAATTTTCAAATTGTTCCTGAAAATTTAAAGAAATTGATTTTTTAGTGATTTTGTCCAATATCCCGAATCTGTGTTAGGTCTAAAAATTCCACTGAGTATTTATTACTAAGAACACCTAAACAATCGAGTGGGAATCCCACGTTAGCAAGTTTGAGTGCCTGTGACTTTTCATGTGATTCATTCGCATCCACTGCAGCTATGGAATTTTGCTCACCAGATGTAAATGACGCGGATTAAACCGGATTTCAGCGTTTCCATCAAACGGATTACATAACACACAAACCAGAACACACACACATATGTACACCCAGACTCAATACACATACACACACACACCCACATAAACATGTGCACAAATACACGCATACAAACATGCACACAAAAACAATGCACACATACAGACACACACACACGCAAATAACTGCAGACATGTAACACATACACACAAACAAGCATATATACGCAAACAAATACACAAACACACACACGCGCACACACACATACACACACGCACACACAAACATGCACAGAACACAGACATACATCCATAAAGGCTGCAGATTTTGCACTTTTGATTCAAAATCTCTAGTAAAACGGAATGATGCTGCAGCTGTTTTTAAATGAAGAAAAATAAACTGATGAAGCTGCTCACCAGTCTTTTTGGCTGAGATTTTCCTGCGAATCCTTGGCAGCCAACGA